TTCTAAACATTAAATCCCTAATTGTAAACAAAACACACTAATTATAATTCTAAACATTAAATCCTTAATTGTAAACAAAACACACTAATTATAATTCTAAACATTAAATCCTTAATTGTAAACAAAACATACTAATTATAATTCAGAACATTAAACCCCTGAATGTAAACAAATAAGTCCGTGAGTGTAGACAGAACACTTTGATTACATTTTCAAACCTGAATAATAATAATGACTAATAATACTGGCGTCCCTGAGTGTGAGATCGATCATATTAATTGTAATGCTCATTTTGTAATCGACTCAATGTAAATCTTCGCCTCCTCAGCAGAGGTAAACACCCGCGTGTTACCCTCAAACGTGATCTTCAGCCGGGCCGGGTGGAGCAGGCCGAACCGAACCCCCTCGATGTCCCGCAGCTTGCGACGACATTCCGTGAAGGCCGCCCGCGCCCGGGCCATTTTGGCAGTGTAGTCAGGGAAAACGAAGATATTCGTACCGTTCACTTTGACCCGCTGCAACTCCCTCGCCTTCGCCAGGATTTTCACACAGTCCGCTTGGTAGTGAAACTTAGCTACAATCGGACGGGCCCGCTCGCCTGCTTTCGGTTTGGGGGCTGGGATGCGATGAGCGCGGTCCAGCAGCGGCTCCTCCTCGAGGTCGAAGGCCTCCTTTAGCATCCGAGATACCGCAGCCGTTGTCGCCGCTGATGGGTCATCCTCCGGAACACCAATGATGCGGATGTTCTGACGTCGAGACTGGGACTCCAGGTCATCGCACTTATCCTCCAACTGTGCCACCGTCTTAGTAAGGACGTCAACTGTTTTCTGGAGGTTCACGATGTCGTCAGTGCAGGTGGAGACGGACTTCTCCACCTCTGTTACCGTTAGCTTTAGCCCCGTGAAGCTCTCCTGCACCGCTGCTAGCCCAGACGATAGCTCCTTTTTGAAGGCGGACAGCTCGGCATTAATCGACGAGAGACTTTCACCCAGAACAGCATGGAATTCTGCTTTAATTATAGCAGCAAGGTCCTCTCGGAGAGCTACAAGTATTTCTTGCTTAAGGCTGCTGACGTCGCCCTCAGACGGAGGAGGTGATCCAGGACAGCTCGAGGCTTCACTACGAGGATTAGGCCGCAGGTGAGCATGGATCGAACTTACCCCTTTAGTCGTTTTTGGTGGCATTTTAATGGCCAAATAGGAGGGTTATGTAAAGTGTGTAAGTTAGCTATTGTTTGCTGTCGGACTCGGGAAAAAGTGCCCAGGCATTAATCAGAGAAAAGGCTAATTCTGTAGGAGCACACCCAAACACACCTTATCTCACCGCCATTCAGCCGGAAGTCCCCAACACTGTGTTTAATGAAGATGGGGTGCTGTTGACCTCAACCAGTCAAGTTTTTGAGAGGCTGAATGAATGCTTCTCAGACCAATTCTCAGTCCCACTGGCACGTATTCCATGGAGGAAGCTGAGTCAGGGGACTTCAGGGTTGGTCTGTCCATAACTGAGCTGAAGTCACTGAGGAAGTTCAAAAGCTCCACAGCGGCAGGGCTTTGAGGTGTATGAGATCTGTCATAAGTTCAACAAAGCTCTGGATGTTGCAAAGCTGTCTTTGTTGGCATGCCATTTCAACATAGCTTGGACATCAGGGGCAGTGCTACTGGATTGGCAAACTGGAGTGGTGATTCCCTTCTTCACAAGGGGAGATCAGAGAATGTGTTCCAATTGTTGGGGCATCACACTCCTTAGCCTCCTCGGTAAGGTCTATTCAGGGGTACTGGAGAAGCAAGACCAATCAATGGTTGAATCTCGGATTCAGGAGGATCATTGTGGGCTCCTTCCTGACTTTGAACACTGGACTATCTATTTGCTCTCATTAGAGTCCTTGAGGGGTCATGGAGTTTGCCCATCCAGTCTACATGTGTTTTTTGGACTTGTAGAAGGCATTTGATCATGTTCCTCAAGGTACATTGTGGGGGGTCCTCAGGGCCATTCAGTCCCTATACAAGCGGTGCAAGAGTTTGGTTTGCATTGCCAGCAGTAAGTTGGACCCCTTCAGGGTGGGAGATGGACTCCGCCAGGGCTGCTCATTGTCACAGATTCTGTTTATAACTTTCATGGACAGAATTTTTCGGTGCAGCCAGGGGGAGGAGGGAGTCCTGTTCGGTGTCCTCAGGATGTCATCTCTGATATTTGCAGGTGATGTGATTCTGTTTACATCACCATGCTGTGATCTTCAGCTCTCACTGGAACAGTTTGCAGCCAAGTGTGAAAAAGCTGGGATGAAGATCAGCAGCTGAAATTTTAGCAATATCCAAACTGCTGCAGTCATGTTTAATGGGATATTTTGTTTTATTAAATAAGTAAAATATGTCAGGGTTAAGTTGTTGTTCTGTTGTAATGACTCAAGGGACTCATCCTTTGCAAACAACTTAATAAAGTATACAAATTAAATATCAAAATCATGCAAATAACATACTTCAAAAAATTGTATGCATATAGCATTTAGTATTGTTCAAAATACTCACAGTGTACTAATATGAACCTTGCATTAAGACATCTGAAGGCATGAAGTAGAGAATGAACAATACTTTTTTAAGGGTAACAATGTCAGAATTTTCTAGGCAGGAGCGAACCTAGTAGTGCAGACAGGGACTCAACTCATCAGAATACAAAAATAGGTATTTCATGATAAATAAAGATACAAAATAACAGGCTGACGGGGCAGCAAAACTTACATAAACAGGAAGATAAGGCTCGGGAAACTCAGGAGGACTCGGAAGACTCAGGGAACTCGGAAGACTCAGGGGAACACAGGAGACACAACGAGTACGACGCGACAACGAACAAGACTGACAGACGGCTTATATACAGGGACAAGACGAGACATGATTACCAACAGCTGTGACGAAACAAGGGTGGCACTAATTGAACTAAAGAGAGAGCACTAGGGAACATAGACACAAACTGGGCCACCAAAAGGTACCATCCTTACAGTATCCCCCCCTCAAGGACGCCCCCAGGTGTCCCCCCCAAAAAAAACCTCCCGAAGGACTTGGGCGGGTGGAGGGTGGCACTGCAAGGGTGGAGGGCCCGAGGAAAACACGAGGAAGAAACCAAAGACCTGAAAAACTATGGCTAACCACAAGCAGGGAATACAAAGGATCTGGACGGTCAAGGGACCGTCCCTAGGAGTCATTGTTCCGGCGGGCGGCCGGGAGGCCGTCCAATACATAGGACCAGAGAGGCCGCGGCAGGCGGCGATGAGGACTTGGAGGCCGTGGCAGGCGGCGATGAGGACTTGAAGGCCGCATCAGGTGGTGATGAGACCTTGGAAGCCGTATCAGGTGGCGATGAGACCTTGGAGACCGCATCAGGCGGCGATGAGACCTTGGAGACCGCATCAGGCAGCGATGAGACCTTGGAGGACGTAGCATGCGTCATGGAGTCCTGGGGAGCTGAAGCATGCGTCATGGAGGCCTGGGGAGCTGCAGCAGACGACGGAGAGGCCTGGGGCTCTGCAGCAGACGACGGAGAGGCC